AAAAAAAAAAAAAAAATCACTTATTGTGGACCGGATGGAATATATTTTTCTGTTAAAACGCTCTTTCTTTTATGAAAAGATAGACTAGGTCCTAAACCATTAAGAAATCAATGCCTTTCCCCACTCTAATAAATTGGTGATGAAATAATTGACTAGTACTCACTTCATTCACTTTTACTTGTCCACTATGAACTTTGCACTCTTCCTGAAAAATAATAAATGAAGTGTATAATTTATCATGATATCCATATTAATTGATGCATATTTTTAATGGATTTAAGAAAATGATTTGAAATGAGTAATTAATATTGGGAGTATAACAAGAACGAAGAAATTATCTTATTTTGATATACTAAAGTGACAAGAAAAAGTGAAAATTTATTTTTAAAATATTGGACAAGTAAAAGTGAACGAGAGTAGTTAACAATTGAATCATCCTTCTGATTCTCTTCGCTCGTAGGCTCGAAACTGACTCAGCACGGTATCAATTCCAAAGCAAGATGGAAGATCTCAATATAATGTTAATTGGAAGAGGATGTAAGATTTTGAGCTTAAACATTCTGCATTCTAGAAAATGCAGCTTATTGAATTCTGGATGCATAATTTATACACATTTTACATTCTGGAAAAAGCAACTTATTGGATTCTGAATACATAATTTATTCATACTATTAAATAAAAAATTCAACACAAATAAAAAATTTATACTAAAACTATAGAATTTTGCAGAACCTGTAAATAGAATTGTAACTCCGCCCCTAATGTTGCTTGTTGATATTGATAACCATTACAATAGTCAAAGACACCAAAGAAAAGCCCTTGTTAAGTGGCTTATATTAATGCCCAAATGAAAGGAAATCATCAAAGAACTTGGAAATTATAAGGAAATAATAATTCATGGTCTACGCCTGGAAGATCATCAAGATCCGCTACTATATAAACATAATATTATCACATAATTAATTAGACAAAATAAAGTTTCCTATCTTGATATCTTCCCTAAACAGCGGGGGCAGGGAGACGCAAGGGACATTTAAAAAGAGAACAACAATTACATATGTTAATACTCTCTCCGTCTCATATTAACAGTCGTGATTACTAAAAATAGTTGTTTCAACTTATTTGTCACTATAAAAGTTCAAGACAAACTTAATTATCTCTTTCCTTTTTTGCCCTTAGTAATAATTATCCTTGAAGACTACAAACACCTAATTTTGTTCAAATACCAATGAATTAAAACATGAATAAAGGTAAAGTAGTTAAAATTTTTATCTCCATTAGTTTTTTTCTTAAGGGGAGTGTACAAGAGAATCATGAGAGATAATATGAGACGGAGGTGGTATAAGTTTAAAGATTCTTTGCGTGTAGGGGTGGCTCAACCTTTTTCTTTTTTTTGATTTGGTATTTATTAGGTTCAATAAAGAAAATAAAAAGAAAAAGACTATAGTTGACCAAGAGATTATACCGCGAGTCCGTGCGTGTTGTACCCCAACAGGAGACGTATATATATTTAATATTTAAGAAAATAAGAAGAAAACAAAAGTCTACATCCTAATTCATCATATTTAATTTTAAAATTTCAAAGAGTCATCTGAATTTCACACAAAATTTTAATATAGCAGAATGCGGCGCCTAACGATCCCCCAAATCTCGCCGCCAATCGCTCCTTTTAATCTATATGCAGTATACTTACGTGAACTTCACATAATTGAACTCATAGTATTATAAATGACGAGACAATAAAGTTATAATTATTAGATTAAATAAACTGTGAAAAATACAAACGGATGATTCCACATGTATATTATTTTTGACTAGCAGATTCTACGAATTATAATCTTTCAAGATTTATAGTCCCTCAACAGAAAGTTTGGCATGTTTAATATGAACTCGTTTTTAAAAAATAAAATTATAATTTTTGTAAGTTCAACGAGATTATTTGTACCTATTGAAGCAAAGTGATGGATTTCAATCAGAAACACATTATTTCTTCTCACATGGAAATTATTGGAGAAATAGTCATTATACCCATAAAGAAAAGAAGAAGAAAGCTAAATGTAAAACAAGTTCTCTTATCAAGTAAAGCTAAATGTAAAGCTAAATTTAGTTTTACACTTATCAAGTCATCCAAAAAAATATGTATTGAAAAGTCTTCAAAAAAATAAAATTTGTACTTTAGAAAATAAGGGAGATTACCTGATAAAATAGATAAATAATTAAACAATATAGAATTTTCCCATACTACGTATATAACTTAAAAATAGTTGATTATTCATATCTTAGGTCCGAATGCATGTATATGAAACAGAGTTCAGAGAATAGAAGGTACGAGGAACGAGGAGGACTCCTAGAGTTTGATATATGCCGTTGATTTTTCTCTGTTGATGCACATTCCCGTTACAGTAGTCAAACTCAAGCTCCAATGTAAAAACCAGCTATGGATATATAGTAAAAGAGGAATGAATCCACAGTAATAAAGAAACACCAAAATGCAAAGTAACAGCATTTTACTATTCCAAGAAACCAATGTTGACAAGAAAACAATGAAAATTAACCAATATGTCCGCCATCATTCTAATCATCATATTTGTATCCTTCTCCATCCCACTTTCTCCCTAATCTCTAACTAATCTATAAGTATATGATTAGTCATATAAGCAAGTACTTCTACAATAAAACAAAAAAAAAAAAAAAGGAATCAATCCGAAGATTATTATCTACATAGGTCATAATTAAACTAAATTTTGCTTCTTTTTTGAAGATCATGATTAAGAAAAGATATGGTAAAGAAACAGTAATCAATTAACTATTTCTTCTCTTCACTTCATTGTTGTTATGATCAAATAGTGATCGCCATGATTATACTAATTTCTCTTTTTCTAGTGTGAAGAATTAATCCATGATTCCACCATACCTTCACCTCTGCTTCCTACTGTTTCCTGCACTTTATCTCCATGAATAATACTGTTCTGGTTCCTTGTTGTGACAGCTTGTTCTGGAGAAATGAGATTAGGAAGCCCACTCAAATTGTGTCCAAGATTGTGATTGCTCATTCCATAATCTTCCAAAACAACACTACCCATTTTGAGCTGTGAGTCATTTGACGAGGATGGTATTTGGAATTGCTCTTGGTCTTTGGAGCCAAGAATGTTGGAACTCCCAAATGGGTATTTTTGAGATGACTGAAGAAGTGATGTGAGAATTGAGTTCTGTTGAATATTCGTAAAAAGATTACAACTTTGTGGAATATTGTTAGCAGCACTAGTAGTTGAAGCAGAAGCAATATTGTTAGCCAAACAACTCAACAATGCTGAAGATGATGATGAAGAGGAAGAAGGAGAAAGAAAGGGTGTAGAGCCTGGTTGTTGTGGTTGAATTTTCTGAGGAAAAGGCCTTCGTAGATAATTAGGTTGTTGTGAAATGTTAAGAGGAGGCCTTAAGGAGGAATTAGGTGTAGCACCAAATATATCAAATCTGCTTCTAGGATGAAAATATGTTGAAGAAGTGAAGGGTGGTGCAGGAATCCCAGTAAATTCTTGAACCATAGCTCTGAAATTAGTAGTGTCTGTTGTCAACACAGTAGTTGGTGCTCTTCTTGAAGCTCTTGATCTTTTCTTTGGATTACGTACTGCCGGTTGCGTAACTGGTTGATCTGCTGGTGGAACAGCCGCCGCCATCGCCGCCGGCTCAGTAGTCGTCGTAGTAGTAGTAATAGTTACGCTACCACCACCACCACCATGTTCTACCGCGGCAGAAGGGAAATTAGAAACACCACCACCAAAGGATAAGGAATTAGAAGACAATGATTTATTGGATGATGCTAATAACGACATGGGGCTGTTGTTGAACTGATGAGGAGAATTATTGTGGTCAGATCTTAGGGTTTTGGACCAATCTGTATCAAGATTGAAAAGTGAAGCTGGGTAATTCAGTGAAGGCGTTAATGGTTGTGGTTGTTGTTGGCGTGAGATGGGGTTGAAATAATTGGCAAAAGGGTCAAACATGGAGGTATTTTGTGTGTGAAAATTAGCAGAAGAAAAAGAATTAGCAGCAGCAGCACGTGAATCGTACTCTTCATCACCACCACCACAACCACCACCACTTGATGACTGTAGACTTGCACTGTTGTTTCCAGAATCCATTTGCTTAAAAGAGGATAACAGCTCAGAGAACAAAAGGAATAAAGAAAGAAGAAGAAGAAATAAAGGACAGAGATATAGAGAGAGAGAGAGAGAGAGAGAGAGAGAGAGAGAGAGAGAGAATTTTATGTTGCTTTTAGTGCACAAAAGATTTTGTTACTTACTGCAAAAACCCCATTAAAGAAGAAGACAATCAGATGTGTATTTTCAGAAAAGTACTCTCCAATATGACTTCAAACCTCTGATAAAACATGATGATCTGCACAAAAGAAGAAGAAGATGATGATGATGCTAGTAGTACAACTCCTCCTTTTTCCCATGCTCTTTTTTTAATTTGCCTCTGAGCCAGAATAAGTACTGTTATAAACGACACAAGAGATGAGATGATCAAAAAGGTGTAAAAAGAAGAGATCGATATATTCTGTTGTTTCTTTTGCCTTCTATAGGTACTGCATGCTACAACTAGGGTTTTCAGCAGAGAGTAAGAAAGAAAAAAAAAATGAGAGGAAGAAAGGGAGAAATGAAGAAGAAGGTTTAAACCAATATTTATCTCTCTGTAAAAGAAAGAGCAAGAAGAAGAAGAAAAAAAGAGAGGCGGCTTTAGAGTAGATATCTCAAAATTTTCCACTCAAAGGATATTACAGAGTGGGGTATGCCATGACAGGCGCTCTTCTTGAAAGGGACTGGTGTGTGTGTGTGTGTGTGTGTGAGAGAGAGAGAAAAATAGTGTTGTTTTCTATGGTTTTAGATTTACAGTGTGAAAGGTTGCCTATTGTTTTTGACGATAATTAAAATCAGCCAAAATAAAGTTACTACGAAAAAAGTCTAACGGGAGTAATTGAAGTTAATAGATTTAATTTTCTTAAAAAATATCGGTTTTTTCTTTCTTTTACATGAAATAATGAGGTAAGCATGAAGCCAAATTAGAGGAGATGATGCATGGTTGGTGAAAAAAAGGTCATGAACGAAACAGAGAGCCACTAATAATTAAGTATACATAATCACCTTTCATACAAGCTTACAATTTGTATTTATCCACCAAATATTTATCATGAATTTGACAAGTCAAAATACCCCTTTCCTACATATTTATTTATTTAATTGAAATTTACCCCAAAAAAAGAAAATAATTAGCAACCCCTCTATGAACACTTGTTTTCTTTGTATAAAGCTAGTTTACATTTTTTTCCTAATGAGAGAAATGATTTTCATTCGCTCCATTCAAAATGGTGTGTATTTGAGTGTTGGTTTACATAATGCTGCAGTAAATTAAACCTGGGGCGGTGCTAGCCCATCAGTAACGAGTTCGATTGAACCTAGTAGCTTTGGTTCAACTCTATATTTATCTTAAAAAATTTATTAAATATGCACTAATTATTAATGTAGAACCTAGTAACTTAAAAAGATTAAAATCCTAAATTCATAAGTTTCAAATTCTGACTACTAAAGTGAATAGGCTTCTGTTAGCTTAGGGATATAAATGCTATGGTAACACTACTTTAGCTGAAAGTTTTATTTTGTTGTCTTAAAATAATAAAAATTTCACTTTAACAATCTTGAATTTAATATTTTTGAAAGCTAAAAATGAGAGTTCACCCAAATTAATCAAAATTGCATCTTTGACTAAGTTGAAAAAATCAGAGCAAGTTTCAGAAAAAGGAAAAGTGGCTAGGGATATTATTATGAACCTACAGAGAATCTCTCATGCATGTCCTTTCTTTCCACTGAATTGTAGGTAAAATCATCATTCTTTCTTTCACTATTCTCGTCGAGTAACAAGAAGAAAAACTTTAGATATAACCAAAGTTTATTTTTATTTTTTAATGGATGGAATGATCAGTTCAACAACATTACAAGTTCGCTGCAACAAGCGGAAATTTTGCTGTCGTTAATTATTTTATTTTTTGTCTAATACTATAGTATATTTCTAATATTAAATGATACTTTCATATCCAACTTGCTTGTAGAAATGACTACCTTGGTCACTCTACGTAAGATTGTATTTTTTTAACCTATTTTTATTCATTAATTTATACACACACATTTATTATGTATTTATATCTATGTTTTCTATTTAACACCTAACTACGAACAAAAACCCTAATCCTAAGGCCAAATCTCTCACGTCTGTTAAGTCTTACACGTTATGTCATAAAAGCAGGTGGCAAGTGGCTTAACACTTATCTCTACTGTTTCTTAAAACCTAAACACTTCACTAAATTTTAACAGTTTTCTTTTGTTATTTATTTCCTTGGTGGTGGATAGAATAATATACTGATGTACATATCATATGGAAAGTGAATACTTTAAAGATATATAGGATTACATAGATACACGTGGCATTAAATGCTAACGGAATAGATTACCTAAACCTAACTTAACATATGTGGTTGCTTGCTTCTCTTAAACTACTCCAATGGTGTAACTCTATGTAGGCACCATCTTCTTTCCATCACATTTTATTTGATCTACTTACTACAAAGAGTCAAATGTACCTTTTGCTGCCTCAATTTTATGTTAATACAATTTTAATAGAATAATAAACCTAAAAAATCGTCCACCTAATCGTTTAAATTAAAAATTATTGACGAATATATAATGTATATATAATTTATGTATAATATGTGTATAACTATGTAAAATTATA